CCTTCCTTCCTTCCTTCCTTCCTTCCTTCCTTCCTTCCTTCCTTCCTCTTTCTTTCTTTCTTTCTTTCTTTCTTTCTTTCTTTCTTTCTTTCTTTCTTTCTTTCTTTCTTTCTTTCTTTCTTTCTTTCTTTCCTCCCTCCCTCCCTCCCTCCCTCCCTCCTCTCCCCCCCCTCGTAGGTTGGTGATGGGGAGAGCTATCTGGGCAAATGAAATGAATAAGGGGTGAAAGTTCACAATCACAAGAAGCTTTGCAGTTGCTTCCGAGTGCAGGGAGGAGCCCACTCTAATACTGCCTGCACCTTTTGGGGGTCTATCCCCTCATGGGAAATGTGGTAGTCTAGGCAATCAATTTTACTTTGGTGAAATTCACATTTGGATGGCTTGGCATATACTTTGGCCACTCAAAGTTTTTTGAGCACAGCTCTGACTAGTTTTATTTGTTCTGCCATTGTCTCAGTATAGATTAAAATGTCATTCAGGTAGACTAGCACTCCCTTGTACAGATGCTCATGCAGCACTTTGTTTATCAGCTGCATAAAGACAGCAGAGTCCCCTTACAGTCCAAAAACGAGGATTTGCAATTGGAAACATCCTAAGGGGAAATCCATTGATCTTCTGCCTTGATCCTAACTCAGTAGTATGCCTCTTGCAAATCCAGTTTGGTGAAGACCTCCTTGACCAAAGGGCATGCCTTCATCAAGGGGAAGTAGTAGACATTTTCCACGCAGACAGCATTGAGTCCCTGATAGTCAATGCATAGATGAAGGGACCCATCCTTCTTCTCTGAATCAGTACCAGGGTAGCCGGTCTGTCGGACTGGATGAAACCACACTTTAATTTTTTGTCTATAAAAGTCTGTAGTTCCTCCAATTCCCTAGGGGTCATGGAATACATCTTGGGTTTTGGTAGTTTGTCTCCTGGTAGGATTTTTATGGAGCAGTCTATCGGCTGATTGGGTAGGAGTGCATCTGACCCCTTTTCACTGAAAGCATCACATAAGTTCCAGTACTCTTGGGGGATCAGAGATTCACCTTGGAGTTGGTCATTGGTGCCTGCTTCCTCCTTCCGTCTAGGCTTTGGCCACGGCAGCTTATGGTCCTTCTCCTTTTTGCAGCTGGCCTGCCAGATTTTTTAGCAATCCCCTCCTCCAGTTTTCATAGGGGTTCCATTTCAGAAGCCAAAAGAGTCCTAACACAAGGGGTCTCTCCATGACAGGGGTTATGATAAAGTTTAGGGTCTCTGTGTGTGTGCCAATCCTCTTCTCTATTGGCTTGGTGACAAATGTCGCTGGGATCTCCCATGCCACTGAGCCATCCAGTTGGCAAAATCTATGAGCACTTCAAATTGTCTGAGTGTCACACCCAATTTCTTGATCAGGGTAGGGTTAGCCAGACATCTGATGCACCCTGAGTCCAGGAGGGCTACTAGGCTCCCTTTTCTCCTTGAAGATTAAACCATTATGGGGATGGTCACTGGGTTGACCGTGTGACTTACCAAGGGATCATCAGGCTGGGAATGAGGTGAACTGTACAACCTCTACTCCCTTCAGGGCTGTCTCGCAGGTTCTCTGTGGTGGTTTCCCCAGTTTTTTGACAGGTCCTAGAGTTGCCTTCTGGGTTGAATATATGACTTGGCAATCAGCTCGGTGTCCTGCCTTCCCACACCTGAAGCAATTGATGGACTGTCAGCATGAGCTCTGCTCATGTGACAGTGTTTTTAGGGAAGGATCTTCACCACCCACAGCTCAGCTGATATTTGGATCAAGCCAAGTCAATTTCCACTTCCTTTGTTAGGACATACCTGCCGTGGAGGGGAGAAGAGCACCCCTGGAGATACAGGTGTTGTAGACCTCACCACTTAACCTGATTGATGTCTTCTGGCCAGTTGGCAGACCAGGTCACAAAACTCCTAGGTGTATAGGTGCGTCCTTGGCTTGGCTTGGGTCTTCGAAGCACTTCCAAAGGGTGATCATGAACTGGTTGAAGTTTCTCAACTCCAGGGCGTCATCGTTACGGAGGGTGACCATTCAGTCACAGTCTTCTCCAATGCCATATTCATGCACCGCACCTTGGTCCCTTTGGTGGCTATTTCTGGACCATACTCTTACATGTATGTCCAAATTTGTGTAAGGAAGAATCCCAGCTGCTTGAGATCTCCATTGAACTTTACACCCAGGGTTTATATCTTGTGTCCACTTGGCCACACTGGCACTGCCCTTACAGCTGATGCAGGCTGGCCTATGGGGCCAGGTGCAGGGGCAGCTGCCATTGCCATGGGGGCCTCCTGCTGCTGCTGTTGCCATTGCAGCAACAGAGATAATGGCTCCATTGCTTGCTGTGGTTGGAGTTGGCTGGTCAGCGGGGTGTGCCTCCCTGGCCAGGGTTTTTCGTGCTTTGAGAGTGTAAAAAGCTCTTCCCCAATCTGATCCCTTAGCAAAGAGAAACCCTTGACCGCATTTGGTTGAAGCAAAAGATTCCTTTACTAAGAAGATGATGTCTGCAGTAAATTCAGCAAGTTTTATGTTTTCCGTGCTCAAAAGATACAGAAAGGTTTGCCCTCATCCCAGCCTTCCCCCCCGCCCCCACCCATGACCAGTCCACCTTCAGTCAATCAGAATTCACCGAAGTGTTTTGAGAATGCTAAGAGGTATTGGGGTAACCCACGTTCTTTCTCAAGGTGCCTGGCCTTGGATGCTGGTACGAACTGGTTGCGAGCATCTGTGGTCTTTATCATCTGTTATTCCCCTCTCCTTATTTCCCATCACATACACACACAGCTTTATTGCCCATCTATTCTTTCTGGCCTTTGATCCCAGGATGCCTGTGAGGCACCAAGCTGAGCCTGGCAGACCTAACAGTCCAGATAGTCCTCAACTTATGACCACAATTGAGCCCAAAATGTATTTGTTAAGTGAGAAGTTCATTAAGTGAGTTTGCTCCATTTTACAACTTTTCTTGCTTTATTTGTTAAGTGAATCACTGCAGTTCTTAAAGTAGTATCATGGTTTTTAAGTGAATCTGGTTTCCCCATTGACTTTGCTCATCAGAAGGTCACAAAAGGTGATCACACGACTCCAGGACACTGCAACAATCATAAATGTGAGTCAATTGTCAATTATCCAAATGTAAATCACGTGACCATGGGGATGCTGCAAAGATCATAAGTGTGAAAAATTGTCATAAATCACTTTTTGCAGTGCCATTGTAACTTTGAACAGTCACTAAACGAACTGTTGTAAGTCAAGGACTACTTATAGCTTTAAGTGAAGGAAACCCAAAGATAATACTTGGGAAAAACTATGTAAAGGAAAAATAGCTAACAACATGTCAATTTGAATAAAGAAATAGAATGAGACTGTGGGGTGAAGTAGAAGTATTTGGTGGGCACACACCTAATACAGATAAAATGCAAATAGGAAATGTGAACTGGGGGAAAATTGAAGGAACAAAATCCACTCATTTACAGCATTTCTGATTGGTGTGCAGAGTATTAATAGTATGCTTGCCAAAAGGAAGGGCTTGACTTTCGAAACATTTAGTATTATTACAATGGAGATATGTGTTTCTGTTTATACCAGACATGAAATAAAAATATTTTGCATGATAACAGTGAGATTTCTCTAACTAAATAAAAAAAGAAAATGGTTTCCTTTCAGGCATCTCTAAGCCAGTATCTATCATGTTTACATGATTTTTATAAGTAGTTTTTCATTGTTGCTTATATAGAAATTGCTTTCTTCTTTTCCTGCTCAGGTACAAGATCTTGTCTTTAACTTGCACATGATCCTGACAGACACAGTAAAGATGAAGGAACATCAGGAGGATCCAGAGATGCTGATAGACCTTATGTATAGGTAAGGTCACAGTCAGTAGAGGAAGAATTAAGAAAACTCCAGAATAGTTTACTTGCACAGCCTTAATTCTTTGCTGGATATTTCCGAGAGAGTCAAGAAAAAGGAAGCCATTCCAGATGCAAATTTCCTGATTTATTTTGTCTTGTTCCCAGTCCTTTTAGGGAATGTTCAGAAATCACATTTGGCATTAAGTTCATTAGTTGGATATTGGTGGCCACTGTGAGCCTTCACCAAAAATAGCTTTCTTAGAAAAAAATATTGCTCAGTACTGGTTTTATTGATAGCAGCCTCTGTCAAAGCCAATAAGGGGTAATCTATATATATAAAAGCCAAGTACCACTCACTCATCACAAAATCTCCAGAACCATAAAGCCTACAAACTTGAAATTTGGCACCTATGTTCTTCTTGGCTTCTAGGTGCTCGCTAAGAAATGGTTTTTTGAAATGACCAACAGATCATTAGTATTTCTTATACAGTAATTAACATGCTCTGATGCTAAGGAGTTCTACTCCCCTTCCCCACCTGAAAAGAACTCTGTTCCATCTGCAATTGTCTTATATTAACATGGTCTGATGCTAAGGAGTTAGATATTCTATTCCCCCTCCCCTCTTGAAAAGAACTCTGGTCCAGCTGCCAGTTGCCTTATATTAACATGCTCTGATGCTAAGGGAGTTCGACATTCTACTCCCCCTCCCCTCTTGAAAAGAACTCTGGTCCAACTTGCCTCACATACCGTTACCTCAGTTCAAACTGGCAGACGTTCCACTCCTTCACTCAGGAGCGACCTGGGGCTCCTTACGTTGGTACCTCACCAAAATGTCTATGCCTTCCACCTATTGAACTGCTTCCGGACTCAAGGCGGCGGAAACAATATTCCCTTATGTATTTCAATCACCGACCACCACTGAGTCAATGGACTATGAACCAAATTTCTCCTGCATAGCTCAATCACAAAGTTTTGTCGGGAAGCACGGGTATCCAGTTACTTTATTATAGAAAGGAAGAGGGAGCTTGGGTTTTCATAACTTTACTGTAAAGGCATCAGGCATTTTGAGCTTGGAAAAGGAGTACATAGCTGGGATATCAAAGGAGAAAATGATTAGGAGTTGGAAATATCTTTTCTCATTTTCATCCTACATGAATTATCAGGCTGCAATTCCACTTAGAGGTTTGGAGCTAGAACTCCCATTGTTTCTGATGACAGGGAATTACAACCCAAGATGAGCAAACAGTTGGGGAAAACTGTTAACTAGTATGAGCAGAAAGGCACTTGTCCTCCATTTGAAACACTGAATGTGCCTGCTTTTAAAAGGTAGAAAAAGTAGGAAAGGTACAAAATTGAACTAAGGAACATAGCAATGTCGCTAGAGGTCACCCTGTAGATATGCATGACAAAAACTCTCCACCTTACATACTGTAAGAGGAAGAGAAAGGCACTTAGTGTAGATGTGCATAAAAGTTAAGACTTTTGTCTCTGACATAATTTGTTTCTCAGGATAGCCAAGGGATACCAGGCATCACCAGATCTGAGGCTAACATGGCTGCAGAACATGGCAGCAAAGCATTCTGAACGTGGAAACCATGCAGAGGCAGCACAGTGTTTGGTGCATTCTGCTGCACTGGTAGCTGAATATCTGAGTATGTTGGAAGACTGCCGCTATTTACCAGTGGGCTGTGTCACTTTCCAGGTAACAGCAGAGCAGTTGTAAAAGGACTAAAGTATTATGTCAGAATAGCACAACACTTCTACTCATTTACTCTGTACTTTTTATATCTGCTGTTGAAAGGAAATGTTTTAGCTCCTTCCAAGTTTTCTCAAGAGAAACAGAAACCAGAACCAAGCCCACTTTCTAAGTTTTCTCAAGAGAACCAGAAATAGAGCAGCGATATTCCATATCTTGATAAGATCTCTGTGTTTCAAGGAAGTTATAGCTCAGAGGACTTTAATCTGATTTTGGAATTCAATTTATGAGATAGGGATAATATGATAAGTGGCTAAGAATTATGGGAGTTTCAGCCAAGATACCTGGAAAAGACCAAGTTGCCTACCTCAATTCTAGAGTGAGTTATTCCTCTCTACCTGAGCAGCTTTGGGAGAATGAGACAGTAAAAAGGTTTTTACAGAATACAAAACAACAGAGTTGGAAGGGGCCATACCATTCTGGAGAAGTGGCTGTCCAGTCTCTTCTTAAAAACGTCCAGTGATGGAGCACCCGCAACTTCTAGAGGCTAATTGTTCTCACTATCAGGAAACTTCTCCTTAGTTCTAGGTTGCTTCTCTCCTTGATAAGTTTTCATCTGTTGCTTCTTGTCCTGCCCTCAGATGTTTTGGAGAATAGGTTGACCCTCTCTTCTTTGTGGCTGCCCCTATTGGAAGACTGTTATCATGTCATTCCTTGTTTTTCTCTTCATTAGACTAGACCTGTCCAGTTTCTACAATTGTTCACCATACACTTTGTTTTAGCCTCTGACTCCCTAATCATCTTTGTTGCTCTTCTGTGCATTCTTTCTAAAGTTTCAACATCTATTTTTTGGTATTGTGTTGACCAAAATTGGATGTAATAATTTATCTCAATAATTTATCTCTGTTTCCAAGAACATATCTTCCAATGTGCTAGAAGAGTCTGCTGTTTCAGATGACATATTGTCCCCAGATGAAGAGGGCATCTGTTCTGGAAAATACTTCACAGAACAAGGACTGGTAGGCTTGCTTGAGCAAGCAGCTTCTTCATTTACTTTGGTAAGAACTTCAAATGTGGCATGACCCTTGTGTGCCCTTATTTCCAACCTACAAAAGCATTCTATATTGCCTTGATGGTACCTGGCTGATTTACTAGTGGGAAAATAGACAAGGAAACAGCTTGGCTTCCTATGCACTGGGGGGGGGGGGAATGATGTCATGGTTTCAGATGCTCAAATTGAGCCACTTTACATGCGAATCATTTAGAACAATGTCTGAAGTTCAAATAGCCCAAGAATAGCACAATTTCTGCCCTTCCATATCAGCAGTTCTTGTCTGTATTAGCATAACAGATACAAAGCACTCATAAAGAATGTACATCACATAAACCATACCACACCAGATCAGGTGTAGAACCAGGAGCTATAAATATTTTGGAGCTGTTTTCCTAGGAAAAGACTCCTGGCATCTGAGCTCATCAAAAGGCAGGCATGTTTTCCTGCTAGTTGTTGATTTCAGTTCTTAAAGGGTCTGTGGTAGCCCTTCAATAGCCCGAGATTTCCACACAAGGAAATCTCTAGTTGAGGGAATACCTAGTAAACCCCTTCTTAGATATATCAACCCAATTGATTTCAGAGAATGTATGCAATTGTGGATAAGGATATCATCCATTTTATCCCTAAAACATGCCTTAAAATAAATTTTAAAATAACAAAAAAAATCTTACATTTCAGTTAATTTTACATACTTTGCACAATACATTTCCAAGATCAGGACAGAAAATTGTTGTATAATAGTAACAATTAAATGTTTTCTTCCATAGGACAGCAAATTATTCCTCAAGTAGCCTTTATCAGTCTTTGGTACATTCCTTAGAAGAGAAGCATTGCCAGTACTATTGCAAAGTACTATTTTTAGTGTACCTGCTACCTATCCAGCTTGTTGAAGTACTGACTGCTTCTACATTCCAGTTGTCCCTCATTTCTCCTATTAGCCACCTTGATACTTGCTTCTTAGTTGTCAGAACTGCCCTGATGGGATGTTCCATGCACTCTGAATTCTTGCTTCATTCTTCCCAGGGTGGACTTTATGAGGCTGTCAATGAAACCTACAAGATCTTCATTCCAATCCATGAAGCCAACCGTGACTTCAAGAAGTTGGCAGTGCTGCATGGCAAATTGCAAGATGCTTTCAGTAAGATAACTAGCCAGGTAAGAACATTCTGTAGCAGGGTTCATTGCAGTATCTCATTTTAGGAGAGGAATTAGAGTGATGATCAAAAGGAGCATTAACCTCTCTCCTTCCCAAACATTCTTGTGTTCCATTTTATAGTCTATCAGAAAAAATAAACACAGAGTATGTTGGCACATCATTTAAGCTGTAGTTTGTTAATTGTCATAATGAAAGGCCAATGTAATATACATTAATAGAAATTTTTTATGAAAATCAATCTATATTTATAAAAGCAAAATACCACTCACACAGCATCATGAAATCTCCAGAACTGTAAAGCCTCCAAACTTGAAATTTGGCACATATGTTCCTCTTGGCTTCTAGAGGCTAAGAAAGGATTTTTTGAAATTACCATTCAATCATTAGTATTTCTTAATACAGTAACTAACAAGCTCTGATGCTAAGGAGTTCTATTCCCCACCCCCCACTGAAAAGAACTCTCTTCCAACTGCTAGTTGCCTCACATTCCGTTACCTTAGTAACTCCACAGCCATCTGCACCACTCAAGTGACCTAAAGACACAAACTTCCAAGTTGCCTCAACCATTCTCCAAAAGGATGCATATTACAATTCCAAACAGGAAGCTACTTAGGCATCAAAGGTTGTAGTATTTTTATTACCCACCATCCAGTCAGAACTGAAGAAGCTCCTTGGAGGAGAAGAAAAACATCTTCAAGGAAAAACCAGAAAGTCCAGTTGTCTCCTGAAAAAAAGCACCTTTGGGACAACGGAGCATTATATTTTACAGTATAACACTTTTGATAGATAGATAGATAGATAGATAGATAGATAGATAGATAGATAGAT